ATCCTGCCTGGGACGAGAACCTTCTCTCTGTTCAGCGTTTCTGAGATGTGCTCTCTGCCCGTTGTTCACTTATAGTAGTCGACTCGGTTACCAGAGCAACTGTCAAAGTTTCGCAGTGCTTGTGCTCAGGTCACCTTTATTTTACTTTATTGCCACATTCATGTAACTTTTATTACAGTATATTGTTACAATTGTTCTATTTTACTCTTAGTTATTGTTGTTAATCTCTTACTGTGCCTAATTTATAAATTAAACTTTATCATAGGTATTTATGTTTAGAAAAAACACACAGTACATAGAGAGTTTAGTACTATCCATGGTTTCAGGCATTCAGTGGGGGGTCTTAGAACAAATCTCCCTTGGGTGAGGGGGACAGTTATAATTTCCCCTGATCCACAGGTTAAAATATTGGCAATGCTTATCATTATTGGGAGCAAGTTTATGGGCTTAAATCTTGCCAGGTTCAGCATAAACACTGACAATGATAAGTTGAGCTGATGAAAACCAATCAATACCATTTCCCACACTTCACTTCTGTAATGTTTCACAGGATTACAGGTGATTAACTACAGAAGAATATGTCAGCAGTGAAAATTAGTGTTATCTGTGGCCCATGTTTATTGGTTATTTAATTCTTATAAGTCAAATTAGTTTGACTTAATGTGATTTTAAATTATATTAAAACCACCCAACCCAAAGCAAAATATTCATTAAGATGTAAAGCTCCAATATTCATGAGAAATGAACTTGAACTTAGGTTTATCCTAATTTAAAATAAGAGAAAGAAAATTCATCATCTTAGGGGACCAAGGCCTCTGACTTAAGAAGTATTCAGCTTCAGCATACCTTGTTTTAGAGAAAAGAGTCTGAAGAGATCTGTGAAATATCCGGTGGAGACAAAAACAAAAAGTCACCATCACCATGAAATAGCATGTGCACACACACAGAGACACACACACAGATACATAGACGCACACAGACACACACAACCAACCTGGGGGACACATTTCTGGGAGTTCTGGTGGAGTCAGGGCTCCCCGGGACTGCAGAAGTGACCCACTGCAGCATTTCTCAGAGAAGGTTCTGTGGGTGGATAAGCCTCTTGAGATCCTCTCCTGAGAAAGGGCTCCGAGGACAAAGAAATTGGACACGTGCTGCATCTGCCACCTCTCCTTGGAGGGTCCCTCCGCAGGTTGGTCTGTTAAAGCCACTGAGAACTTCTCCGGTAAAGACGTGACTATTTCAACTTCTCCAGTATTTTCCAGCATCATTTGATCATGGGCTTCTTGCCCATTCCCATTAAATTGACTGACCTGGAATGGAATTTGTTTCTTGGAACACACTTTGGGAAATGCTGGTCCATAATGGGAAAGGCTGACAATGGAGGGGAAGAAAGAATTCTCACAGAGCAAAAGAGAAGGAACCACTGAGGACCAGAGAACTCAGACTCCGGCAGGGGCCCCTGGGACCCACTGTGCAGTGGCTGTGATGCCGTGTTGAGTTGACATGAGGAATCATAGATTCCGTTTTCCCCTCTGCAACTTAGTGCCTATAGACAATTAACTTCCCCATCTGAATCCCACTTTTCTCAACTGTAAAATCAGAGTTTAAATAAATGATCTTCATTGACCTTTCTAGGCCCAATTAGATGATTCTACCTCAACTATCATAATAGAAGAAAACAGGATTTGCTTGACAAGAATTCTCTTTATAACCAACTTTTTTTGGAATGCAAAATAAATGATGTTTGAAATAGAAATCCAATGATACAGCCGCATGTGGATAGGTGATTCTTCACTTGACCTTAGCCATAAGGCCGAGAAGCGATGGATAGGTGATTCCTAACTCTCATTATCTGGTCATTTTGATTAAAAATTCAGTCACAGGGTGCAACCTGGAATACACCTAGTGTTAGTACTGTGCTTGCTGTCATTAAACCCTGGGGGAGAAAAAAAAGTCTAGAAACTTTCAGCAGCTAGATCTTTGATTAAAGCCAAGGGGCAACTTTAGAATTAGTTCCTTTAATTAATTGTCCTTCAGGTTGTATGGTCTGTGACTACACTATTCTTGGTTATTAATCACAGTTTGCACTTCAAAAAAAATGAAGATGTGGTTGAAAAAACTGATTTAAATGAAACTAATCTAAAATATGGAGAAACACAATAGGGCAAATTATTTTGCAAAAGTGTCTCTATTTTACATATGTCAGTTTTCCTTTAACAGAAAATAAGATTAATTGGAGAGAGAAGGTGTAATTGCCAGGGAGGCTAAATCATTGATCCGATGTCACCTATGAGATGACAGCCCCCCCACCCTCCCGTAATTTC